AGAGTTTCCGATCATCGCTTTCACATGAGCTCTTCATTCGTTCTTCGTACGCCTTGAGCCTCCCGATTACTTCCTCAACGGACATCGATTCCAGGTCTCCAAATTGCTTGAGTGTCGAGGCAATCTGAAGAAATTTGGACGAAACAGACCTGAGTAACTTCTTCACAACCTGTGATTCTTCTACCTTGTCTCCCAAGGTTCGTAACATGCTGACTGTGCTAATTACTTTTCCGGTGAAATCATCAACACTCTCCGTTTCCTTCATACTCATGGCTTCAAGTTCAGCTTTGAGTGTTTGGATCCTTGCAACCTTTACTCTATCTGCCCCTATAAACATAACTTTTAGAGCTTCCCAGGCTTCTTTGGCAGTCTTCTTCTCCGCCAATGTCATTAGCAAATCCTCGGGTATCCCCTGATAAATGGCAGCCAAGGCCATATTATCCTTCTTGGTTTCAACAAGGGTGTTGGGTGTTCTGGGTTCCACTGCATCCCAAACACCTTGAGCTAACATAAACACCCGCATCTTTATTGCCCATGCACTGTAATTGCTTCTGGTCAACATCGGGTAGTGCAAGGTGATTTGCCCGTCTTTGTCTCCATTCCCATTGCTGTCACTGCCTGCCATCTCTTCTTCTCTAGGTTGATACTTGGGCATGTACCAGGTACGCTCTGATACCAATTGTTGGCTCCTTAAGAGGCCTGTATCAGATTTATAACAATAAAACAGGGACAGGGGCAAAACGGGAAAAGTAAAAACAAAAGCAAGTTACTAAAAGCTTTGCAGCTTTATTATTTTTCTGAACTGAGAATGGAGGTGGTGACCTCAACGAAATACAATGCAACTAATTTAAAGACTGAAAATTGCGAATAAAGTGCAACTAACTCCAATAACCTTGTGACTCGGTACTCTATCATACTTAGCTTTTTACTTATTCAACAAATGAAAAAGACACGTGCAGTTTAACTGAAATAAACTAACTCCTAACTCTGAATTATATCAACAATCCAATCAAAGAAGAATAAATGATGGTCGACGACACAAGCATTTAATACGCCTCATGTGCATGACGTTTCAATATCAAAGGTGGATCTTCAAGTCTGAATGGCAAAAATATTTGGTCAACATTCTTTTACCCTTCAGACCAGGGAGCTTAATGGTGTACCCGGGCCGGTAATCCAAGAAAACCAAAAACTGGCATGATACTTACAAGGTCGGGCATAAAGAAACTACAAACTGTCATGAACGAATCTAGGCTCAAGTAACCATGCATGAATCTCAGAACCATATCCTAGAAAACATGCCAAAAAAAGGATACATAGTAATAAAATAGTAAAAGGACAAAAAAATGTGACTGCTTACAAACCGGGTAATAATGAAGAACCGGACCAAACTGTAAGCCCATGGAGCCTTGAAAAGCCTATAAATACATCAGAGACACGATACACGACAACCGGGTATTGGAAAAGAGAAGCAAGAAAAATTACACGTAACACCATAACACCTTTTATTTCGCAATCTAACTTAGGCGTCGGATAGCAATGCCAAGGTTCAACCATCGGTATGGCTATCTGACATAGTGTTTGTCCATCTTATGCAAAGCAGATTCCCGGATGTTTATTAGACAACGATCCTTCAGAGGTAGAGCTAAACATGCACTTGGAGTTCGTCGTAACATGTAACTTTGTTAATCCTTTTGGTTTTCTTCCTTAAATAACATCCTAATTTTAACATAACCAACTGCAATTTTTTACTTATTACAGGATCAAAACGATAACTTGACATATATCCATCGTACCAAAAATATAGGATACACTTACAACTATTTACCCTTAAGAGGATTTAGTCCTTAAAATCACGTCTTAGTCCATAAAATTGAAGTACCTTCTTTTTAAGTCCCGTTGACTCCCAAATGTGATTGGGCTCGTTGTTGCGCTTTCATTTTGCAAGCATCAAGTATCTTGTTTGCCTTGTTCAATATAATAGTTTTGGGTTCTTCAAATGATTTCATTTGGGGCTTTTCCTTTCAATCAGCTTATCAGATCATCTCATCATTCTTATCCAATCCCTATTTAGGTAACATAAATGGAAAATGTTTTAGTGGTTAAAACTCTAACCTTTTGGATACCTGCTTATAACAAAACTAAAAGTTAGTTATCATTTAATAAAATATTTTAATTAAGTTGTATGTCATCATCAAATTAGACAAGTTATTTTTACCTGATTTTAATATAAATAGAATAAAAATAAAACTTTAGTGATAAAAATCATTTTAGTTTTTTTAATAGGAACCCTGAAACTAGTTGCTATTTAATAGCATTAACCTTATAAAATAAACTTCATTAACCTTATAAAATAACGAAGTTCAATAGTTCATAAAGTATCATAGAGTTGACAAAAGTTTTAGAAATTGATATTTTATAAGGGGTTTTTATTTGGAAAAATCTTATTATTTTGGAAAAAAAAATTAATAAATTTCTAAGTTTTTTTAAACAGAAAATCTCATTATTTTAAAAAATTACATAATCTGTCATTTCCTGTTAAAATAAAAAAAAATGATTTTTTTTTCATTAATTCAGGCAAGATATTAAATAATTGACGTTTCTATTAAAAAAGTTTTTATGATTTTATTAAAAATTCAAAATAATAAGATTTTTCTCCATAAAACCTTTTATATAAAAAGAGAATTGATTAAGAGGTGTTTGAGATTACTTTTGAAATAACTTTTTCATTTTTAATTTTTTCAAAAAGTCAAAAAATACCAAAAGATATTTTAAAGATACAAAAATTCTTTTCAAAATAACTATTTGTAAAGAAGAAAATCATGGGTGTTTAAAAATCATAAAAATATGATTTTTAGCCTTTTAAAAGCTAAAATACATTTAAAAGTTAATAAATACAACCCAAACATTTTTTAAAAACAATCTTTGGCTTTTGTCTACTCAAAAATTAAAATAAAAAAGATTTAAAAAAAAAAAAAAAAAAAAAAAAAAAAAAAAAAAAAAAAACTTTTAAACTTAAAAAATAATCAAACTCCCCTAAGACGAATGTGTCTATGTGAGATATTTTATTAATAAAAGGGTGTATTTGTAAATTGCAATCAATCGTTTACCCGAGGAAGTGACTGAAAGTTCGACAAAACTAAAAGAAGCAACGTGTTTTGACTTCGAGGACTTGCAGGGACATTAGGGTTTTAGAGACTATGGCGTCAGGGTTTTAGGGACGCTGATAATGAAGCATTCGTTTTATGGTGCTCGATATCATCCCTCTATCTTTGATATTCTTGATGCCCGTAAGTGTTTTTCTTCACCCATATTCTTTAATTATTTTTCTACATTTTCTGCTTCCAACAACCGAAATTGTAAAGAAGGTACTAAAATCAAAACACTTGAAGATGCAGTTTATACGTTTAATCATATGTTCTATCGTAATCCTGTTCCCCCTATCCAAGAATTCACTAAGGTCTTAACTTTTATTGTCAACAAGAAGTATTATGCTGCTGCAATTTCTCTGATTAAAAAATATGACTTCTTAGGAGTCGACCCTTTTCCAAAGCCCACCATTTATGTCTTCAACATCGCAATCAATTGTTTCTGTCACTTGAAAAGAGTGGATTTAGGGTTCGTTGTGCTGGGGAAAGCCACGAAACTTGGATACGTTCCTGATTGTGCGACATTTAATACACTCATCAGGGGACTCTGTGCTAACGATAACCTTCATCAAGCAATCAAATTATTCAAACAAATTGTGGAAAACGGGTTTGAACTAAGTGTAGTAACTTATGGAACATTGATAAACGGTCTTTGCAAATCAGGAAATACTAATTCTGCTATCCAATTGCTTAGACAGATGGAAAAATCTTCATGTAAACCCATGATTATCCAGTATAGCACCATCATAGACAGCCTCTGCAAGAATAAACAATTTGAAGAAGCTTTGAAGCTTTTTTCTGAAATGAACTCAAAAGGGATTTCACCAAACGTGGTAACTTACACTTCCTTAATTCACGGTTTGTGTAATTTACACTCATGGAAAGAAGCAATGAGATTGTTAAGTGAAATGCTTACTAGAAACATCTCACCTAATGTACACACATTTACCACTTTACTAAATGCTATGTGTAAAGAAGGGAGAGTAATTGAAGCCCAAATTTTGCTAACATTGATGATCCAGAGAGGTGAAACCCCCAACACTGTCACATTCAATGCACTGATGGATGGTTACTGTTTACTCGGGAAAGTAGACACTGCTAGAAAGCTGTTTGACTCCATGGTTGACCAAGATTGCACGCCTTCGGTTATCAGTTACAATATCTTAATAAATGGGTACTCTGAAACCGAAAGAATTGATGAAGCCTTGAATGTTTTTCAAGAAATGTCCAAGAAAGGTACTGATCCTAATCTTAGAACATACAATATACTCATTGGTGGTTTATGTCATGTGGGTAGACTTGATAAGGCACTTATGCTTCCTGTTGAAATGAAATCTCATGGTTTAAATCCAGATATTGTGAGTTACAATACTATATTAGATGCACTTTGTAAGAACAGGAGACTTGATGAGGCGTTAAAGTTGTTTAAAAATCTTGATGTTGATGGTATTGTTCCTGATATTGTTACATGCAATTGTCTGATTGATGGTATGTGTAAATCTGGGGAAACTGATGATGCATATGAGTTCTTTTTAGGTCTTTCTGCTAGAGGCTTGAAACCTAATGTTCGTACGTATAACATTATGATTGATGGATTCTTGAAAATGGGTGAACTTGATAAAGCAAATATGTTGTTTCTTGAAATGAAAGAAAATGGTTGTGCTGCAGATGAGATTACATATAAGATTATGGAGCAGGGTTTTCAGAGAGTGAATGAAACAAGTAAAACTGTTGACTTTATGAATGGATCACTTGAGACAAGTTTATCTGTGGATGGAATGAAGTTGCTAATTAGATTGTTGTCAACCAAGGAGTTAAAGGATTCTTCCAGCTAACCTTGTATATGTTGGGATTAATTTGCAAAAAGAAGGAAAGTTGAGGGGGCGAAAGTGAAATTTTGGAAATAGAATTGGGGTTGAAACTTTAAAATACTCTCCATGTACATAAGGTATAGCAGCAGTTTCTAACTTTCTATTAAATTTTATAAGTTTATATTTTTTACATGATTATGTTAGGGAATTGTGTATAGCACCAAATTAATTTAACCGCTCCAAAAAAAAAAAAAAATTAAAGCTATACTTTTGTGATTTCAGATATTTGTTTTTACCCAAAATGTTAAAGGACGTGTGGTTTTGAAAATAGTATTTTTACACGGTTTTCGGTTTCCATAAAATCACCTATTTTTACATACTACAGAAGTTATTATAGCGACTTAAATTTGTGAAAGAGTTTGGCAAAGCTGATTTTTTATAGGGAATAATTATATTTGACCAAACAAGTAATGAGTTAACGTGAAAGTAAATGTAAGTTATGCCTCAAAACATGACAAGTCTTACTATGGTGAGCATTTTGATTGGACTGGACCAAACCAGTTTTATAAAAATTGGTGGACCTCGGTCAATACGTGTTGAGGTTTACCAGGTCCGGTTCTTGGTTCTTGGATGTAAAAGTAAGCATTCTTGGACCAAACCTATTTTGCAGAACTTCTTGGACCGAATCTATAGAGGCTTACCAGTTTTGGTTCCCGGTCTTATCCAGAGGCCTAAATCCTCACCCCTAAGTCTTAGAGGGTGTTTGGGATTTTATTTTGAACCTCAAAAGGATTTTTAGGTAAAAAAAACTATTGATTTATGGTGCTGAGAAAATGAGATTTTTTTCTTAATAATGTTTGGATTAGCTTTTGTGGTGGGAAAAATCAATAAGTCAATAAGTTGTTTTTTTTAAGTGTTTGTCTTTAGGGTTTTTGATAAAGCCTGAAAGATGTTGATTCGGTTAAACGGACTGATTTTGAAGTTGACTTTGAAGTTGATTGGGTTAAAGGTTGAGACCAAATCAGAAGCAAAAATGGATACCAAACATGCTGACGAAGGACCTCTGACACTGAAGAGTAGAACTCAGTTTGAAGCTTTTTTTATCAGACCGGATCAGGAGAAAAATGATGGGATCAGTCAAAAATTTGGACCCAATCAGGAGGTCTTGAAGCAAATCAAACATGATGTCGGAAAATGTAGACCAAGTCCTAGCTTTGGACTCGATCAAAACTCTCATCAAACAACGTCTTAGCTTATACTCCATCCGTCTTATATTTATTGCTCACTTTTGACTTTAAATACTTTTGTTTTTGATATATTATATTTGATGTAAAATATATGAATGAATTGTATTTTAAATGTTTTTTCATTATTATAAGTTTCATCAAATAATTTTGTTGAGTATTGAAGATATTGAAACTGATTTGGCATTTTTGTTAATAATTGAAAACTTTTTGTCTTGGTAGCTGGCACATGTTATATATATATATATATATATATATATATATATATATATATATATATATATATATACTTGTCATTTCGTTTTGGATTTCATAATTAGTATCAAAGTCAAATATTATTAAAACACAAATAAAAATATTTAAGGTCAAAGTTGAAGAATAAAGACTTCAAAAATCAAAAGTGGGTAATAAATATGGGACGGTGATATTATGTGTTTTAAGGGGTATTTGTCTTTTACAATCTAGAAAGTTATAACGACTTTTGAAAAGTTAGAAATTCTAACTTATTAAAATCTCCTTTTTTAAAGGGGTTAATGAGAAGTTATTTTAAAAGTCATTTTATATTGCCAAAAACTTTTTTGACATGTTGATTTTTCAAAAAACTAATAAACCAGTAAGATGTTTTTAAATGAAATCTCAAACACTCTCTTAATTAGACGGAGGATCACAAGTAAAGAAGAAAAGGGTTGCATGAAAAGAAGGGAAGGGCAATGGTGTCTTCACCAGGACGAGATCTTCATCTGATGGGGCCGCCTACCAAGGCCCTCTAGGGGCCGTGTGGTGTTCTTGTTCGAGCTGCAGTGCCAAATTAGCACCCTGGAACAAGTGGCGAGGCCATAACACATAGCACTAGTAGTGTAGTTTTTTTCTTATCTAGTGATCTATAGCAGGAGACACAATTGAAAGGATTTTAAATTGTATAGTGCAAGTTTATAATGGATTGATTATTGACTTCCCTTGCTGGTGATTTCTCCTTTTGTTGAGCTTTTCGTGCAAATCTTTGTACTCTTTTTTTTACTCATTGTTCTATTGATATAATAATGGTTGCATGAGAAGAGGGGAAGGACAATGGTGTCTTCACCGGGACGAGATCTTCATCTGGCGGGGCCGCTTACCAGGTCCCTCTAGGGGCCGTGTGGTGTTCTTGTTCGAGCTGCAGTGCCAAATCAGCACCCTGGAACAAGTGGCGAGGCCATAACACATAGCCCTAGTAGTGTAGTTTTTTTTTCTTATCTAGTGATCTATAGCAGGAGACACAATTGAAAGGATTTTAAACTGTATAGTGCAAGTTTATAATGGATTGATTATTAACTTCCCTTGCCGGTGATTTCTCCTTTTTTTTGAGCTTTTCGTGCAAATCTTTGTACTCTTTTTTTACTCATTGTTCTATTGATATCATAATTCTATTTTGTGTTTAACTAATATTATTATAGACTATTTAGATCCCTGGGTGTTGACTTTCTCCTAGTTTCGACTTTCAGTCGTCTAAATTGATCAGATGATTTCGTATAGTTATTTTCATCCACATTTACTAAAATTGGTATTTAAGGATCCATGGTTAGTATTAGTTTATTGGGATTATTTTATCAAGTGATTAATGATGTCTACTATGAAATATGATGTTCCGTTGTTGGATCAAAACACTAGCTTTCTGATAACATGCCCTTCAGAATGGGTCAGAAATAAGGAAGCCTTCGATGAAGAGTCCCCTGCAGGGCCCAGCTGGGTCCGACTCGATCGCTCCAACCGTTAGGCGCCCCCAGCTGCCAGGCACCCTAGTAGGACCAATCCATGGGCCTGACACATCCTCCACTACAGTCCAAGGCATATCTTGGACTCTTATTAGGTCAAAATAGAGTAAAAAGAGCCAAGTTCTCATGCAAGAGTTCAAAACTCTATAAAACTCCAGATACATCATTCCTAACCAAAAAATGGACTCTAGGGATTCATAAATTGGCAACTTTATGAAATCCCAACACTCCAATATGTCCCAGCATGAAGACCAAAACATAGAAACCTACATCTATGCATAATAAACCAAAAAGCTTGGAACTGGGGACTTACAAGAGTCATAAAGATGCACAACAAGCTGATGAGAATAGTTGTTTGCTGAATTCAAGTCTAGAAGTCACTTACTTCTTCAAATCCCCAAAATCAACAAAAAAAAACTTAGAGAGTAAAAATAGAGGTTAGGGTTTTCTTGGACACTGAGAGAGTGTAATGGAGGCTGAAGGTGAGAAACCCTAGCCATCACATTCCATTAAATAGAGCACAAACCCCAGATATTAGGCATCTCATTAAACCGTTTCCAAATCATGGCGTCCTTAAATGAGATTGTGATATTTCTCAAAATGCTATGTCGTTGCGATTTACCCCACGCCGTGACAACCCTAAATACTTAGAATTCTGAAATTTGAATTACCTCGACATCTGGATGTTACAAACATCAAACATATAACCATTCAAGTCTTAACAGATCGCTACAGTATAACAACTTCCTAAACCAGGATACAAAATCTACTGGATCGGCATTGGTGCCTTCGACCCACAAACACGGAGAGGAAACTCACCTCATAGTCTGAAATTTAGCTGACCAAATCACAACTCCAACTGCTGACTCTACAAGTCACCTATACAACAAACAGTGATCAAATCTCATACTACTACTCAAAATACCACTAATTCAAACTTGTTCAAATTTAATGTCAAAAAGTTAAAGATCTCAAGTCATGGGTTTCAAACCTGGTACGCGCAACGTACCTCTAAGTACACCCAACATACCAAAGTTAAATCTCTAATTCGCCGTTAAGTCCTTATTTCATTAATCCAAAGCACCAAACTTCAGATCCAGGTAAAAAGTGATGTCTTAATGGATAAAGTCTCTTACTTTATCCATCTGCATGCATACAAGAGGGTAGAAACTCAAACCCTTGGTCTAAAAGTCATCCAAAGTCCCAAAACTCTTTTATGGCTTAATGAGAATGTCAAAGATCTTATTTTTATGAATCTATGAGCTCAAAACTACAAATAACTACATTTCAAGGACCTGGAGTAGCTCATACTCCACTTGACCAAACTATGGGACCAAAAGTGTACACAAATTCTAGACTAGCAAGATCTAAGCAAATAACTCATCAAGATTCAAACTTTATACCTCCAAAGGATGCTTGGGGTGAGATACTTTTGGATCTAGGTGGTCTTGAGCTTCCAAGATGATTTCACCATCTTCTCATTCCTTCAGGAACAAAAAACACACTCTCTCAAGCTCAAAATGCTCACACAATGGATTATGGTTTGCAAGGGACAATTTGGGAGATGGAGGTTGATTAGGATAAAGATCTTGAGGAGATAATGGTGTTTAAATAGGGCTCAAACCCTAAAAATTAGTTTTGACCCCAACTACATACGTCCTGCGTACGCTTGGGTACTTCCATCGTACTAACATAAACACACATCTCACATAAAGTGAGTTATAGGACCAATTTTGCAACAAATCAAATACTTAGGGTCAAAAATGAAATTACCTGAATAAAGGGTGTTACAAAATTCAAGAATGGTGATGTATGGTATGTATGAGTTTCATGATCGATCTCTTTCCTAGTTCTCTCTATCTTGGTTGTGCTCTCATCCTTCTCTTGTCTCCTCCTTATATCCCTCTTTCTCTCGGTTGATCATTTTTTTTATCGGTGTGTTTTCTTAATATCTAAAAAACAATATTCACTTTATTTAAAGATAATAAATTCACTTTATTAATGATTTGTTAATTTCTAATACGTGGTA